GGATTTAAATATTGTCGGTCCGAAACCGTTTTGATGTGACCTTTACGAGTATATAAGATAAAAAAAAACCTATTGTTCTCTAGCCAAATTTTTACGCGTTCATCTGATATTTATACCCTACACTACTATGTTGCCAGGGTATTAAAGGGGTTGTAATGCCGCGAAATATTGGCCCTATAACCATCTTTTTCCAATTGTCATATCTCGACTAACTGAGTCGATATAGAAACACGACACAGTTATGGACTACTCGTCACGAAATTTGGCATGTTGGACGGGTTCTGGCCAAAAAAGACCTCTATTGTTTTTTGTAATTATTGGCTAATATTTAGTGGGTGAAATGGACCAAAAACGTAATTTTTGTCTGGAGGCGACAATTATTACTCCAACATCTCGAAATTTTACTCAGATAGAGGAGTAGAAGCATGACTGATTTTATGAAGATCGGTCAATGGGTCAAATGGACCTAGTCTTTTACGTGGATGAATTGGGCCAAAAACGTCTTTTTTCTAGACGCCACATTGTAAGCCGAACATCGAATCCATGGGGAAGACGATTTGACCAACTAATTCGAATTGTTGTCTTCATAATGAACGGTCATTATTTAACGGATCAATAAACCATAACAAGTTTGTGTAAAATAACAAAATTTGAATATTATGAAATAAATATTTACTCCGAGAAAAAATGATTCGTAAATTTTCCGCGGAGGAGTTGTTCGCCAACAATCTGCCAAGAGAGTGCAAATATCTGCCAAGAGCGTGCGGATATCGTGGATTTTGCTCATTTGCATATTTTTAATAATTAAGATATTGAAATTCTGATTGGACACAAATTTGTTTCAAACGATTTAGAATTAATTGAAGGTGTCATGTTTTTTTACTTTGCATATGCACGAGATATGCCAAAAAATATGAAAAATTTGAAAAGTGTTTTGCATATGTGAAATATGTCAAATTTTTGACATGCCCTATTATATCGAATAGTTGAGCCATGAAATGTATAAATACAAAATGTAAGTCCAATCGGATGAAACATACAAAATATGCAAAAATCCAAGGCCTAGTTATCAGTTAATTACATAGCTTTGTCATTTGTATGAATACGAGTTTTGTTAGCAATATAATGCAAGCAGCGCCATCTAGCTTCTAATTCACGAAACAAGATGCCACATTTTTTGTATCGTTTTTGTTTTTCATATAAAAAAATAAATTTTGTACATTTTTGGGTTTTTATTTGTTAATGGGTGTACGAATACGAATTTTGCATACTGTATTTTAGAAGAACAATAATTGCCGGTATATAAGCACTTTCGAATATTCATAAAAAAATCCGCCTTAAGATTACCATCTATTACATCCTTTTAGGAAGAAATTTAATTTTTTAAATGGATTCTATTAGAAAATGTATGGGTTTTCTTTTGACTCTTCTTTAGAAGCCCTTTAGCTATTCGATGTTAAGGACCTTCAGTTCTTCTGTAAAAGGATACAAAGTTATCTTTGTATGGGGACTATCCCAAATAGTGGAACAAAACGGAACAAACGTACTTAAAGTACCAATATTTTCCAATTTTATCATCAGCTTTCCATGCTAGTAGAAGTCAATTTTAATTTTTTTATTAAGTTTTTAATGCCATTTTCAATGACTATATTAATATAATCGACAAAATCTCTTAAGTTTATGAACGGTCGCAGACTGTTGCAAAAGTCTGAACAGAGAACATATCAAGGTGTATATCGATGCAATAACCTTTAAAATATCCAAATGACACTAGGTTCTGGAACTCAATTTTTTTTGGAAAAAAAACTTATTTATTTGTTTTAAATACGAAATTTGTTGATGATTATCTTAATATTATTAATTATTTTTAGCTTCATTATAATCACCAATTTCATCTATTTATTTGACAGTTATTTTATGTTAATATTTTTATACCCTACACACCTATGTTGTCAGGGTATTACAGCTTTGTGCAGCCCCAACAGTTTGTAACGCCGCGAAATATTGGTCCTAGACCCACCTTCAAGTATACCGATCGTCATATCTCCACTAGCTGAGTCGATCTAGGCATGTCTGTCCGTCCGTCTGTCCATTATAATTTGTAAACACGATAGGGACCGCAGTTATGGACCAATCTTCACGAAATTTTGCATGTAGGATGGGTTCTGGCCAATGATGACCCCTATTGTTTTTGGTAAAGATAGTTTAATATTTAGGGGATGAAATGGACCAAATACTTAATTTTTGTCCGTTTTTCTGGTTGCTCCAGAGGCCGCAATTATGGCCCGAACATTTCGCATAGAGAACAGGATCGGCCTTAAGAATAAGCATGCCTATTTTGAAAAAGATTGGTCAATGTTTAGGTGGTCAAATGGACCCCGACTTTTGTGTGAAAAATTACAAAATTTGTATTCTATGGCGTATATATTTGCCCCTGAAGAGGAGTGGTTGACCGTTAAAATTGATATCAATTATATGGTCTTATGTACCCAGATGTAGGATTTACACTTAAATATTTACAGGTGCTTACGTATATAGGTATTATTTTGTAACCCATTACCACACTAGAGGGTGAAAATATAGCGCTGATCGCTTTGAAAATGTCTACGAGGATCCAGGTATGGTCAAGGATAACGCAAGATACAAATTTTGGGATGAAGTGGACCGAAAACTTATTTTTTCGATTCGATATATACAATTATAAGCCGAATATCACAACACAACTCACGGCTAAAGGAATCTGAACGAGTAATTAGAAGGGCTGTACTGAATATTGGGAATATTCGGAAAATATGTCAGTGTAAGAAAAAAGTCGCATAGTGGTGGGAATGTATCTCTCGGGCTTTCCTTTTCATAGCAACTCCGATCATGTAGCTCATCTCGAAAGAGAAATTAATAAAAACATGTACATGAATGATCTTCGCCCTAAAAAGGCATAAAAACAAAACTCAGAAAAAAGTATTGTCGACCTCTAATCGGCCAAGAGGGTGCAAATATCACGAAATATTGCCCAGGCTCAGAATAAACATCGGCAGAATGTGCCGTGGTAGTTGTGTAGGGTATCGTATGGTCGTCCCCGTCCGACTTTACTGCTCCGCTCACTGGTTCAAATATAAATTATATTCAAAAAAATATGAAATTTTGACTTTGACTTCATGCCATTTGTAAGTCGTGACCCATAATAATATAAAATTTTACCGGCGTAAAACTCAAACTTTTTTCTCTCTATATGACATGGACTTTTTGCAAAAAAAAAAAAAAAAAAAAATGGGGTTCATGGCCCATAGTGCAAACTTCTTTACTATTACTATTTTATGTTTTTTCGCTGTATGTAATAACATTTCGCACATATCGTGGCTATCAAGATGGCAGAATTGAAAGTTACCGGGGGAATATTTAATATTTTTTTAGGGCCCAGATGGAATTCAGCTTACTATAATTTTTCTGGAAGTTGTGTCTCTTGGTCTCAGTTAAAAAAAATATATATATTTTAAATAAAAATATCAAACTTACGTAAAATAAATAAAAAACATAAATAAAACATCAACAAATGTTTGTATTTTTTGGTTTAGTTTGGTTTTTAATGTTGTTTTTGTTGTTGTTGTTTGGTTTCTTGTTTTTATTATTAAGGGCTACAACAATTTTTTGTTTTTAAATTTATTTGATGATTTTCATTTAATTTTTGCTTTTCGTTACATTATCATCAAAAAAAATTGTATTTGTTATTTTTATTATTATTAGTTTTCTTTTTTTATATATTTAATAACTAACGTTTTCTAAATTAAATATTAGCGTTGGTTTTGTATTTTTTGAAAATGTTTAATGGGGTTTTGTTTTCTTATAAGATTTTTGTTTTGTATGATTTATAACAATATATAATAATAATATAATAATAATGTGGAGTTTTCATTTGTATTTGTTTCTAAATGGTTTTTGTTGTTGTTTTTTTTGTTTTGTTTTTTATTTTTCATATAAAGGTACATCATTTTTAGTTCAACATTTGGTTTTGTTTTTAGTTTTGTTCAACTTTCTATTTTAGTTTTAGGGTTTTTTGTTGCTTTTTTTGCTATAACACGTCCGTCCCAAACTCTACTTTACAATATATATTTGTTTGGTATGTTTGTATGTGTATGTGTTTATGTAGATTTTTTTTGTTATTTATAGTTTGGATAATGCTAAAAAGTTTTATTTTTAGTTTAGTTAGTTGATGAGGAGGAGGAGGATTGTTGTCGGCATTATTTTGTTTTGTCTGCTTCCCTTTTGGTTTCCTTTGGCAGAAAAAAAGGAGCTTCCGCTACCAGCAACACTTCTTCTTTTTTTTGAATATTTGAAATGTGCTGGCCGTTCGGCTTTCTTTAGCTTTTTGAATATATAATTTCTTTCTTTTTGTATATATATATGTATGTAACTGCATGTAAGTATGTATGTGTGTGTATTGTATATAATATATGTTACTAGTGTTGTTATTATTATTGTTTTTATTGTTGTTGTTGTGTATAATAGGTAGGTATATCTTACTTCATTCTTCTTCTTCATCATCAGTATTACGATAATTTTTAGCATTAGTTTTAAGTTTTAGTAAGGTAGGGAGGGAGGGAGGTGTGGATGGAGCGGCGAATGGGGGTACTGTTGGCGGTTTATTTCAGTTTATTTTTTCTTCTTCTTCTTCATATTGCATAACACTTTCCATAGACAGAGACTGCTGTTGTTGTGGTTGATTTATTCTTCTTGTTCTTCTCCATAACTGACTGACATAATGATGATGTCTACACCAGTAGGGCGAAAGACAAGAGTTGTTCGGACGACTTTGTTGTGTTGGTGTGATGAGAGGTTTATTTTCTATTCAGCTTGGGCACAAGGACTTTCTTTCTTACTTTTTTTGTTCAAAAGGACCACAAGGTTGATGGAAAAAAGGCTTCTTTGTTGTTTTTTTGTTTTTCATATATACTTATTTTGTGGAAGGATTACTTGTTAAGATTTTGTTTTGTTGTTGTTGTGGGTTTTTTTTCGTTTGGGTTGCTATTATTTTTATACAGCCTCTGGTCTGATAATTGTAGTCTATGACGTGGTCGTTTGTGCTTGCGGTGTAAAATAGTGTATGCCATTTGTGGCCATATCGTATTCTGTAATATATGCGGGAATTTCTAATTGATCTTTAGTTATTGCGGAATACAGATGTTCAACGCCTGGCAAGGAGTGTACTTTGGCTTTAATGGCTGGTGCCATGAATGTTGTAAACCACCAGGTCATCATCTGCGGGTAGAAGAACAAGATTAGTCATTTTAAAATCTTGTGAAGGGTATTTTGTAAGCTTACCTTTGTCCAGAATGTTGGATGTACAATATAGAAGGCTTTCAGATTCTTTTTGTATCTGGAAAAAATATAACAAAATAAAAATAAAATTAATAAATCGAAGAATAAAATGCAACTGAAGAAGTTAATTCAGCAAACTTTTCTATGGAAAACCTTAAGTCAGCAAACTTGTTCATTGAAAAAGTCAATGCTGAGAATTTTTCTACGCAAAAAAATGAATGTCAGATACATTTTTTTCTAGAGAAATGGTTAATTCAAGTAAATTTTTGTTTAGAATATATTATACCAGCAAGATTTTTTAAGAAAAAAAATCAAAACAGACTCTTTATCTATAAAACAATTTATTCAGCCAACTTTTACTATAGACAAATCCAATTCAGCCAACCATTTCTACAGAAGACATGAACTCAGCTAGGGAAAAATTAATTCAGCCAACAATTTTTATACCCTACACAACTATGTTGTCGGGGTATTATAGCTTCGTGCAGCCCCAAAAGTTTGTAACGCCGCGAAATATTGGTCCTAGACCCACCTTTAAGTATACGGATCATCATATCTCGACTAGCTGAGTCGATCTAGACATGTGTGTCCGTCCGTCCGTCTGTCCATTATAATTTGTAAACACGATACAGGCCATAGTTATGGACTAATCTTCACGAAATTTTGCATGTAGGATGGGTTCTGGCCAATGAAGACCCCTATTGTTTTTGGGAAATATCGGTTAATAGTTAGGGGTCACTGGTCACTCCAGAGGTCGCAATTATGGCCCAAACACCGCGAATTTTTGCATGAAGAAGGGGATCGGGCCAAAGAATAAGTATGTCTGCTTTGATAAAGATCGGTCAATATTTAGCGGGTCAAATGGACCCTAACTTTTGTGTGAAAAATTACAAAATTTGTATTCTATAGCGTATATATTTATCACTGAAGGACATAGACCCCAGAAATTGATAGTATATCCTAGAAGAGTGGTTGACCTTTAAATTGATACCATTTATATTGTCGTAGGTACTCGGATACGGGAGTTACACTTAAATATTTACAGGTGCTTACGTATTCATATATTATTTAGTAACCTATTACCACACTGGAGGGCGGAATATAGCGCTGTTCGCTTTGAAATGTTCCATGAGGTTCTAGTTATGGTCCAGGACAACGCCGAAAATGTTAGGTGATGATCAGATAATAATTGTTCGGATGAAGTGGACCGAAAACTTATTTATTTGTACTTTTCGAGTCGAAAGCCGAACATCACAACACAACCCACGGTGAAGGGATATAGAACCACAGAAAGTTAGATTTTCATGGAAGTTGTGTAGGGTATCGTATGGTCGGCCCCGTCCGACTATACTGCTCCGTTTACTGGTTATTTATAAAATTACGTCTGCAGTTTTTATACTCTTCACCACACTGTGACACAGCGAAATAGACCCATGGTCCCTTTTGGAGAATGTGCATAGAATCACTTTCTAAGTCGATTTTTGCATGTCCGTCCGCCTGTCTGTCCATTGTAATTGTAAACAAAGTACAGGTCGCATTTATGATCCGAATTGGATGAAATTTTGCACAGCTCATTTATTAGGCCCTAGGACGAACCTTATTGAAATTAGGATAAATAGGTTCAGATTTAGATATAGCTCCCATATATATTTTCGTCCGATTTTTAGTAAATATTGCACCAAAGTGCCTATATATCTTCCGATTAGCACGAAATTTAGCATAGCTTACTAAATTAAGCCTAGAGTTATGTGTGTTAAGTTGCGTGAAAATCGGTTCAGATTTAGATATAGCTCTCATATATATTTTCGTCCGATTTTTACTAAATATTGCACCAAAGTCCCTATATATCATTCGATTTGCACGAAACTTGGCATGGCGTACTGTATTGAGTTTCGAATGACGTGTGTTAAGTTTCGTAACAATCGGTTCAGATTTGGATATAGCTCCCATACGTATTTTCGTCCGATTCAATGCAAATGGTGCACCAAAGTCCCTATATATGATTCGATTTGCACGAAATTTGTCATAGGGTACTGAATTGAGTGTAGAATGATGTGTGCTGAGTTTCGTAAAAATCGGTTCAGATTTAGATATAGCTCCCATATATAGTTTCGTCCGATTTAAGGTAAATTGTGCACCAAAGTCCCTATATATCTTTAGATTTGCACGAAATTTGGCATAGCGTACTGAATTGAGCCCAAAATAATGTGTGTTTAGTTTCGTGAAAATCGGTTCGGATTTAGATATAACTGGCATATATAGTTTTGTCCGATTTTATATAAATGATGCATTAAAGCCCCTCTATATCTTTAGATTTGCACGAAATTTGGAATAGCGTACTAAATTGAGTCTAGAATGATTTTCTAAGCTATGTAAAAATCGGTTCAGATTTAGATATATTTCTCATTATTATTTTTTCCATCGATTTTATGTAAAGTGTGCACTAAAGACCCAAAGTTTGTACGATTAACACACAATTTTTTTTGAAATCGATTCAAATTTAGATATAGCTCCCATTTGTATTTTCGTTGGATTTTAGGTAGATGTTGCACCGGTTGACACGAACCGTTTCAAGTTGAGACTAGAATGACGTTATAGATTTTTTAATTGGTGCAGATGTAGACACAGCTTCCATATATATTTCAAACGGGTATCTGATTGAGATTATTTTTATGTACATAAAATTGATTTACATAAATGAAAATAAATGAAATTAAATTTATCATATGTTCCAGAAGGTTCACATACTCAAGTTCGTTTAATTTCATGACAATGTTCTTTCGAAAAGGCGGAGTCTGTTAGTAGAATATATCCAAAGTGGTGAAGGGTATCATATAGTCGGCCCCGTCCAAACTTTACTCCAAAATACAACATTTTGCAGATTTCTATAGAAAGAATCATAACATGCTGTTTACTTTTTTCTTAGCAGTTCTTAATTTTTCTTATAGGAAAAAAAAATTCAAAATTCCTACAATTTTTTCCTTAAGAAAATTATTTTCCATATATTAATATTTAATACCCACATGTCGTGGAATTGGTTATTTCATATACTTACTTGTAAGGCAATACACTGTAGACATCACGCAACCAATGTAATGATGGATAATTATTTGTTGTGGTCAATGTGTGGAAGTAAGCGATGACATAGTCTCCTTTAACGATGGGATCCAAGAGTTTTATCAAATATAATAAGGCCTATTGAAAGGAATTTCAATACAAAATTAATAACACTGAAATAAAAAAATGTCCACTTGCCCTCCTTACCTTTTCCAAATCGATATTGTGTGCTGGGAACCATTTGCCACAAAACACTATCACTGGTCTGCCCAAACGATCAACACCGCTCTGATATAAACAACCAATGCCGGATACTTCGCTTAGATCTTCATTTTGAGCACGATGTAAGAGACGTTCATATCTAAAAGAAGGAGAAGATAAAGAAAAACAAATTAATAATTTGTTATACAAATATTTTAATGGAATATTTATAAATATATTAACACGATTTATAATACATTGCTATTAGAATAGAATTTTTAACATTTCACACATTACACCCTCAATAAAATTGAAATGAGAAATTCTTCGCAAACATGAAATTCAAAGAATCGATGTTGTTGTTTATGTGTACGGTTGTTAATTGAATGCAAACATAATTATTCATTGTTTTGTTTTATAAAAATGCTTTGCTGGAAAATTTATTTTATTGGGGGAATATAAATTTCAAAATTTTTGGAATATTTTAATGTGCAATGAAAAAAAGAGTTGTTTTGCAGGAAATTAAAAAATAAACACACCGTCGAATGTTATTAAGAAATTCTCTACATATAAGAAGTGCATGGATACTCGTAGATTGGCATATATCTATAGGTCATCCCTAAGGAATAAAAAATCATTTTTGTACATTTAATTAACTATACAAAAATGTATTTTGACCTTTCTGGGCTACCTATAAATATGCCTTGTGGACTATTCCTTTTCGTACAATGTTCAATTACACTAAATTTGTACTTTTTCGAGATAGACACATGGTTCCTTTTGAGAATATGCATAGAAACACTTTCTAAGTCGATTTATGCATGTTCGTCCGTCTGTTGGTGGTAAATTGTAAACGAAGTACAGCTCCCATTTATAATCCGAATTGAATGAAATTAGGCACAGCTCATTTATTTGTCCAAGGACGAACCCTATTGAAATTGGGAAAAATCGGTTCAGATTCAAATATAGCTCCCATATATGGTGCACCAAAGTCCGCTTTGCACGAAATTCGGCATAACGTACTGAATTAAGCCTAGAATGATATCAGCCAAATTTCGTGAAAATCGTTCCAGATTTAGATATAGCTCCCATATATAGTTTCGTCCGATTTTATATAAATGCTGCACCAAAGTCCCTATATATTTTTCGATTTGCACGAAATTTCGTATAACGTACTTAATTGAGAGTAGAGTGATGTCTGCCAAGTTTCGTGAAACTCGGTCCAGATTTAGATATAGCTCCCATATATAGTTTCGTCCGATTTTAAGTAAATGGTGCACCAAAGTCCCTATATATCTTTCGATTTGGACGAAATTTGCCATATCGTACTGAATTGAGCCTAGAGTGAAGTCTACCAAGTTTCATGAAAATCGATACAGGTTTAGATATAGCTCCCATATATAGTTTCGTACGATTTTATGTAAACGGTGCACCAAAGTCCCTATATATTTCGATTTGCACGAAATTTCGCATAACGTACTGAATTGAGCCTAGAGTGAAGTCTACCAAGTTTCATGAAAATCGATACAGGTTTAGATATAGCTCCCATATATAGTTTCGTCCGATTTTATGTAAACGGTGCACCAAAGTCCCTATATATCTTTCGATTTGCATGAAATTTGTCATAGCGTACTGAATTGAATCTGGAATGATGTGTGCTGAGTTTCGTGAAAATCGTGATCAGATCAATTCGATATCTGTTGATATTACGACAGAGGACAAGCAATATTTTGGGCAGAGTTTTAAAAATTGGGTATATAACCACGCGGTCTATTTTCTATATTTTAAAAATTTTCATCGTATTTCTCAATCAATAATTTAGGTTTCCGATCATAACTGTATTTTCCTACCTATGTTTCTGTAATTTGGTATATCGATTTCTTAGAGGATAAAAATATAATAAATAAATATTTTCAATATAGATACATGTTCAGACAAAGGTCCCCTATAAGGATTCCGATTGATTTTATTCGGACTTTTTATGTTTGGTAAAAGTTTTCCGATCGGACAATCCATTTACAAATGATCATCAATGGATTTGATCTAGGCTTGTTAAAAATATTACAATGTGTAAACTTTAGTCGAAATTAGAAAATTTCTTCAATTTATATGAGATTTAAATTTCTATGAGATTAAAAATTTTGTCTCTTAGACGGAGTGGCTCAATATTACCCATCTTCGAAGTTGATTTAAGTTTAGAAGAAATATTACGATGTGCAAATTTTGGATTAAATCGGTTACTCCCTTCGAGAGTTATCGTGCACACCATTCAGCCAGACAGATAGATAGGACATACGATTGTAAATCGAATAGCCTGAAACGGATTTGGTCCCAAGAAACATGAGGTCAAAAACCAACATTTCGATGAGGCACATTTTTTCCGTAGCAAAGTGTATATACCCTCATTCACCATAAGGCTAAGGATATAAAAAAATAATACGTGACAATTCGTGGTGCTGTAAAAGTCCTTAATGAGATCGTCACATGTGACGAATCATGGATATATGCGTATGATCCCAAAATCGATTGTGTGGGTTTTCGTAGGCGAGACAAATCCAAAGGAGGTACTTGTGGAAAAAGCATTTCGAATCAGATGATCGACTTATTTTTCGGTAAAACTGTGACGTGTGTTCCAAAGACATTTTCTTGTTTCTTCGGGAAAATTAGAAACACGAACAGGGGAAGTTGAATCATTGTGCACCGTATTAATGCAATATCGAATAGCGCTTTTTTGAGCGGTCAAAAATGTGGAATTGATGGGACATCTCCCGCACTAACCTATTTCGGAGATTTGAGAATCGATAAATTGAGTGTTCAATTTAAAGATTCCAACTTTTTTTATGATCTATTAAAAGTGGGAAAAATGTTACGATTCTTGAAAATTTCCTCCTCCCAGGTTACAATGTTCAAAACAAGTGTAAACTATTACGTATAATACAAACAGGCTCCAAATAAATTGCCGTCTACTAGTAATGCTGTCATCATATAATGCGACAAACGTAAATTCTGTAGATTAGAATAAATTATTAAAAAAAAAACAAACAACAACAATAATAATGCCATAAAACAATTGCAAATACGGAACATTTACATATTTAAGTAGTCGCTCGCCTGTAAAAACAGACATCAAGTCGAGCTACTCTATTATTGCTATTTGGATGGAATTCATATGTAAATATGTATGCATGTAAATAGAAAAATAAAAATTGCTGTATGGCGTTTATATTTACATATGAAATAAGCTATAGTATATTGATATGAGAACGTGTGGTTTTTTCCTATCAAACTGGATCAATTACATCCATGATAATCAATAACAAAACAATGTTCCCTTTTTGAGCTATGACCAAGCGGGCTTAGTCATGCATATTCAAGTGTGACAGTTGGAAAGTCAATTTTTTTGAAATAAATTATATATAAAAATATAAAACAAATATTTGAGATGATAAATGAATTTTGTAGTGGAACAGTATTTTTTTTTTGTTTTTTTAATTAATAAGTTTTTTTTTTGTGTGTAATATATGAATCGACTTTATGGTTTGGAGTGTAGTTTAATTTGTTAACATCATCAATGGATAAACAGAATTAATTATTCGGCTCACATTTATTCCAGTTTAATGTGGATATATTTGGATATTTATACTTTGCATTAATGAGATGTTGTTATCAAACATCAATTTAATTGAGATATAACTAGTTGTATCTGCTTAAAATGATATGCGTTTACTGAATAGTGAATTATGGGAATAAAACAGCAATACTTTTTTTATAGAATACTAATATTTGTTTTAATTTTGTGTATAAAGAATATGGGGAAGATTTGCTTTCTGCAGCTGATGTATAATCGGTCCACCATTTATTGACACTGTAAAGTTCTGTAATGGAATAAGTAGAAGGACTAAGTGAATTTAAATATTAAGGGGACCTCCCCCATTCTCGGGGTCAATTTTTTTGGTATAATTCGAATATACACTATAGAATGTTCCTACAAAATTTTAAGTGAAAATCTCAAGAACTTTTGAAGATATAGCCGATTTATTATGTCAGCATTTAAACGCGTTTTTCTCTATACATTTTTTTGCGAATGGCGGGCACGATAACTCAAAAACTAATAACCCAATCGATTCAAAATTGTAACACGTTTCTTTGTGAGTGTATCGTATGAACTAGGATAAAGCCAATCTGTGAAGATCTTCCTTATTTTTAAATTTGTTTTTTGGTAAAAAATCGGCGATTTTCCAAAGATTTTCCACAGCGAAGTCAATAATCCTAGTTCATACCAGAGCCAGACATGTACTCTTTCTAACACCGTTGGAATTTTCGGATTCCGATGTTCCAGTGAGGACTTATCATGCCCGCCATCAAAAATAAGGACTTTTCTTTAATTACAAAAAACAACAACAAAACAATAACAAAAATTTTTTGTAAATTATTTTTCTTCTCTTTTAAAACTTCAATTATATATGTGCAAAGTTACAAATCTTAACAAGCATTGATATACCAGCCCATTGAAAATCTTTAAAAATTAAAGTCGTGAGGAGGGGGGGGGGGGGTTCCCTTAATAGAAATACCAAAAAAGAGCAGTACCCCTAAAACACTTGAGTGCATTAGTGGAACAGTTATTTGGGATATATGTCCAATATGGAACAGAGATTATAGTTTTGAATAGAAGCTATTTCAATTTATTACTATTTTTGAAGTTTACACAAATTTTTCTCCCTGTGGCCTGTACTATACTCAGTACATTCATTAGGCTGGCGAAGTCAATGATGACCTACATCGGTCAACGTTGTGGTACCGGGTATTATGTTTTGGTACATATCGAGATACACACATGGAATCGAGATAGACACATGGTTTCTTCTTTATAAAAAGTACAGTTCGCATTTAGGATCCGAATCTGAGGAAATTTGGCACAGCTCATTTATTTGGCCCAAGGACGAACCCTATTGAAATTGGGAAAAATGATTTCAGATTATAAGGATACAAATTGAACGTTAGCAATACGTTTTTATTTGATACCTGAACTATAAATTTAAAAAAATTAATATGATGCCTCCGAGAATATTCTGAAAATATCTACCCTTAAACTGCACAACATAATTTTGAGTGAGGAAAATTCATTATGAGGATGAAAAACCTTGGCCGACAAATTTGCCA